AGGCTCTCCTCGGCCACTTCTCCAAGGCGCGCCGCTGAAGTTCCCGAGGCGCCGGAAAGAGTTTTCTCCCGTCTTCCTTTTTCGTTTGGGAAAAAGTTCGCCTCAACTCGACCCCTCTCGAACTCTTTCCAGCCCGCCCGCGGCGACCCCGCAGAGGAAGCCTGCCGGAAAGGGACGCGGGCATCCCAGTGGTACTCACCAGTGAATGGGGAAGAATACAGACATGAAGTCCGCACGCAAGAGGCTGACACCACGTCCTTTTGTATCTGAGACCCGGGGGAGGAGAGGCAAGGAGGGCAAGGAGCCGGTTGCGCCTTCCAGCAGAGCGCGACCCCGAAGCGAAGGCGGCCGGTCCGCGCGGTGGGCGAGCGCCGGCGGCGGAGATTTACGCGTGTGGTGCTTGTGTAAGACCCGGCCCGTTGCTGCCACCTGGCGCGCCAAAGAACCCCGCCGGAGAAGCCGCGACTCTGACCCGCGCACGGCGGCGGGGACGCTCCTTTTATAGGCGAGGGAGGCGGCCTTGGCCCGCCGGGCCCGCCCCCTCCCTCCGATGATGTCACCGAAATCATGAATGGCTCTCTTGCGTTCGGCCTGTAGCGAAGCCGAGCCTCCGGGGAGAGAGGGACGGAGCTGCCGAGCGAGCCGATTGGTCGGCCTCGATGGCATCATCTTCGCCACGAGCGCAGCTTGCTGCTGATGTCTGTTGTTACCTAACCCACATCTCAGCCCAGCCAGCCAAGCTGGACCACATCACTCGCTCCTTCCCAACCCCCACCCTCGGTTTCTTCAATGTATGGCTGGGGGCTTTTAAAACCCGAATTATTTGACGCATCCCCACGCTGCGGCGAGGAAGGAAGCGATTCCGACGAGATCGGAATGTTGGGCAAGGCAGTCGCTCTTCCTACATTGGAGGCAACGGCTTTGAAAATCCCGGCAGGGTTCATTTACGACCTTTCATTCATAAGAACGGGGGCGGCACACACGCGCGCTGTAGCAAAGATCTACCTTACGCTGAGAAAAGCAGCCTCTTCTTCGCCCGCATGACGAGCAAATCTATATGTACAGTATTTCCCACCAGATGCTTCTGGCTTGGGAACTTTTTAAAACATAGAAATAAATATAAACAGCGTTAAGTGACAACCAACCGACGTTCTGCATGGTTTGAGGAGTGGATAGGTTGCTTGCTTGCTTGCTTGCTTTTTCTTTCTTTCTTTCTTTCTTTCTTTCTTTCTTTCTTTCTTTCTTTCTTTCTTTCTTTCCGCCGCCTTTATCGTAAGGAGTGGAGGATGGGAGCTGCTGGTGTATAGTTTTAGTTTTCCTAAACACAGTTTTAAATAATCCCTGGGAAAATGGAAGAGGGTAGGAATTGTACAGGATCATAAATTACTGAGCCGGACAAGGTTGTCCTTTGCTTTTCTGTGCCCAGAATAGGGTTTATTTTTAGTATGCTCGTGTATGTGGGAATAAGGAACAAGGCTGTGGTTGTTTTAAATGCTGCTGGGTTTTTTTGTTTTTTGTTTTGTTTTTTTGCTACTAAGACTTTCATCTCATAGGAACGTGGGAAGCTGGCTTTACAGAAGCAGATCATTAGTCCGAAAGCGGACCCCTCCCACTGGTTTTTACTGACTGGCCGCAACTTTCCAGGGCTTGAGGTAGGTTCCCCCCCCCTCCCACCTGGGCAAACGGGGGACGGAATCTGGACGCTCGGCTGCCTCCTTTTCTTTTTCCTTCACTTCACAGAAGCCAAATCCTGCATTTCGAACCGAAAAGTAAACACCGTGTTTTTTTTTTTTAAATCAGCCTCTTTTCCCGATCCTTAGCCCCAGTTACACAGCCGGGTATTGTGAAGACCTCCCAACCCAGAGAGGAGTGATCTCCTTTAACCCCCGTTTCAGAGAAGCGTTGAGCCTTGCCTGAACTGCAGCGCTTCCTAAAGCCAAGCCCCCCCCCCTTACATCTCTGACGTTAAAGGAACCTGAATGCCGTGGAGACGGAGTTTTGCTCTGAAGCTTTCCTATAGTGCCACAGGAAGGAACTGCAGCACAGAAGCCCTTATGTAAGCTTCTGCACAGTTCTAGAATATCTATTTTCAAATGAAGTGGCACTGAGAGACCAAGAGAAGGGCTCCGACCGTCACCCCTTGCTTTGAGTGTTCTTCTTCATGGTAGGAAAACAGCAGTGATGGCCACAGAGCAAAACAGAGCCTGTTGTCACATTTATTAACAGATATTATGAGTCCACCCCTGTCTATCTGAAATTCAGTCTTGTTTCTGTGCTGCTTCCACACACTGGAGTGGCTGCATTTCTGCCTGCTTCCCAAGGCTTCAAATCGGGTCCTTTCTCCTTCTCATTCCCTCATGGGAAATCTTTCTGCCTCCCGATTCCAGAAACTGCAGGCCCTGGTTCTGTTTTTCTTGCTGCTCATGGTGCCGTTGTTGGGATTGCTACTGCCTGTCTTGCTGCCTTCAAGCTGTGCACCATCATTACAGTGTTCAGTTCTTTGTTGCCAGGCGTTAACACACAAACATGCATGAATAGGGTTTTGCCCAGTGTTTTATTTCATCTTTTATTGTTGGAGGAGAATTGTGGTGACTTCCCTGCACCAATGGTTCTGGATAGGGTTCCATTCCCTATTAAAACTCAGATCTGCAGCTTGGGTGTACTTCTGGAGTCAACTGCAAACCTGGATACCCAGGTTTGGTGCTGGTCAGGAGCGTGTCTGCACAGTTTAAAGCTAGTACATCAGCTGTACCTGTTCTTAGAGATGTCTGACTTGGGTGCAGCGTGACGTGGCTTAGCTATATCTCACTTTAGCTAATGTGCTGTACTTGAGATTGCAGCCAAAGAGTGTTTGGAAACTTCAGCTGATTCAGTATGCTGCCGCAGCACTGGTCACTGAGGCAGTTACAGGTACACATAATTCCCGGGTTACAACAGCATCACTGGTTACAAGTCCATTTCTGAGCCCAGTGCAAACTGATGTTCTAGTCCCGTAAAGCTCCCCGACTATCCCAAGAACCACATCTCCCCATATGGACCTCCCTTGTCTTTTAAGATTTTCAGAGGAGAGTCATTTCTCAGTCCCACTGTCCACTGATTTGGCTACTAGAAGGGACCAGAGGGTACTTATAGGTGAGGACCACCAATAAAACAAGTGATACACTACAACCCTTATGATTATATGAGGGTGAGACTACACAGCAAGGAAAATACGGTTTGATTTGCACATACTCACAGTTTATCAAATCATGTTTCTCCAGGTGTATGGTTATAGCCACCCAGATGACAATGTGCAGGAGTCAGCAGAGGAGTGGCAGAGAGCTCTGTTTACAGAGCTTTAAAAGCAGAAGCCGCAGTGAGGTGCTAATTGGCAATTTCCACCTTTCTCTTTTTGTTTATTTAGTTCTCCCAAGTGCCCTAGCAAAACACTTATCCAGCACTGAACATAAATCTTTTTTTAAACCCAGCTGTGTGCAGACTAAGGGCATTGGGTTGTGGGGAAATGATCCCCCCACCAACACGTCTTTACATCGGACCAGGCGATCACACTGGCAGAAAGCAGAAAAAAGCAATGTCAACTCAATCAGAACCAATTTAAACCATCCCTGCTGACTGAATCGAAAGCAGGTGATTCTCTGCTCCAAAAAAATGAGAATTTCACAATGGGCTTCTTCGCTTTGTGTTTTGTAGCCACTGGGTTTTAATTCAAATTCATCTGTGCCCAATCCAACCTAAGTTGCAGCCTAAATTGATTTTTCTTTGCATGAATATATTCAGGAAAGCTGTACCTGTTGAATCTTACAAGCATTGTTAAAGGTATAAGGTACCTGAAACCTCTTTATGTGATCAGATCAAATATGAGAAAAGCATCTGAAGACTTTTGAGCACACGAACAAACTCTGGGAACATTTAGGACAAACAGGAGAGCAGTAGTTCATGCTTCCATCCAACATTTTTGGGGGAAATTGAGTGATCATCACCTCCCATCTCTCAAGAGATCAAAAATGTTACACTTTTGGATTCCAGCTCTCATAGTGAGAGCTATGGTCCAAAATGATAACATTTTAAAGTTTTGCACCCAAAGCACTTAATTTCTCAGATACCAAAGCATGAAAAAAGTACTGCATTCCCCCACTGTAGTGACCCCAGCCTCTAAATTTGAATTTAGAAGGTATGACAGCACCACATCTTACAGGAAAAACGTCATCAAATCAGTATAATGCAAGAAAAAAAAGCAAGATCTTGCAAAAAACAAAAAACAAAAACAAAATCCAAACAAACCCAAAAAACCCCAAAGCCAAACAAGAAAGAATTGAATCATGTAATGCTATTTTAGA